AGGGGGGGAGGGTTACTCAACAAATGTTTATACGGGGAGGCTCCGCCCCGAGGTCCAACCCCTTACCCTTTTATATCCCATTTTTCAGGATAAAGGCACTTCTTTCGTATGTCTTCTATTGACAAATGCCTCTTTCACATACCTTGTTTACAACTTTTGCATCCCTTTTAACTGCTGTAAATGCACTGTCTTTTAAATAGGAATCAATCAGAAATCAGAACGTTTCCTCGATTTTGTAAAGCCATTAAATTCATCTGTTAGCACTTTTGGACCCTTTCTCAGACCCAAACGTTATATTTCCCTAGCCTTTAATTTCAATACTTCAGCTAGTTAAATCCCTACGTACCATTTCATATACATGAGGCCTGAAAAAGATACCCCTTTCGGGCGGTGCCTCCCCGTCAGGTGGTCCTCTTCCCCGCTAAGTTACTCGCTGGGGTTAGTCACTGAATTAAAATTCCAACCAAGGTCAGGATATTTTCTCCGTAAGCATCCTTTCTTATACATTCCCCTGCAATTAAAATTACAGAAAATAATATGTTATTGTGGACGATGGTGAAGGACAGGAGAGTGTCTGAGTTCAGAACTAGCACTAAAGCTTCAAAAACTACAAAACTGCGCATGATGGGCTTTCTTTTTGTTTGCAAGACTGGTCATTAAGAGTCGACTCAGTGCTACAGGACCTTACTGTAAACGCAAATGTAAAAATGTTTTATATAAGTTTATTGTGAATTTAAAATAATGCTATTCATAAGCAATCACTAAACAGTGTCAACTATCAGTTCCTGTCTTAAAAACATTCTTATTTGATATTGGCAATTGATACAGAGCCAGCCTTGACTAAGACAATTTCATAAAGAACCTCCGATTATATATCACACAAACGAGGAACGTCTCTTCCAGTTTCAGTAGTTGGCCCCATCGCAAAGCGCTCTCTCGCTCCCTTTCGCCTCAGAAAACAAAAAAAAATCTGCCGCTTGCGCTTGTGAAATATTGAAACTCGGCTTGTAGGCAAGTCTAAAAGCGCCGTTGAATTTAAATCGCGCGCGATATTACAACGTGTCGTTACATTGCGTTGGCAATATTGCGGTACTAAAACTGAACTTTGTAACATCGGGCGAATTTAAATTCAGCGGCGATTTCAAAATATGTAACACTGAAGATGACGGATGTACCGTTGAAACACTTCTGGTAGTTCTGTTAATGCACAAAATCCAATTAATTGTTGTAGAATGAAAAACTAACGTCATAGGCGAATAGTTATTCTATTTTTGACGCCATGCTTGGTTTTGACGGCGCGCGCACCGTACCTCGCGCTCAATCTCGACCCCAGAGCTCTTCCGCACGTGACCGCCAGAAGCGTAAGCACTGGGGTCCAGAATAAGCGCTCAAAGGATGAGGACGTCACGTAGCAACGGAGTGGCGTGTAAACATACAAAAATTAACGGCTTTTCGTTTTTTTACTTTCTTGGTTATTTTCCAGTTTAAATTTCAGTAGATCAAATTGAAAACTAGTGATCTTTCAAGGGCTTGAGCAGTTACGGAATCGGTTCACAATTATGAGAAAATCATCAAATGCCTGGTCAAAAGACCTGTCCGGTTGATCGACCGCAGGCAATTATGTGCCCACAGCGACGCTCTCTAAACAAATGCACATCCTACCATTTGCCAGTACTTTTAAAGATCGAATGACTCCTTACCGTTACAAACTTTGCTGTAGAATGAGTAGGGCTGGAAAAGCCAATATGAATATCGTTTTCAACTTCATTTTCGCTTTGGATTAGATTGAAAGGAAAATCCAATAAATTCTTGTCGAAGAATAAAAGGCTAACGTCATAAACGTAAACACGTTCTGTTTTTGACGTCATGCTCGGTTTTGATCGCGCGCACCGCACCTGGCGTTCAGTCGCGAGCCAGAGCCCTGGTTCCCATAACCGCCTGAAGAGTAGGCACTGGGGTAGAGAACGGGCTCGCAAAGGATGAACACGTAACCTGGCAGTGCGATAGTGTGAAACAAACAAATAAATATGGTTTTCTATTTTATTTTTATTTTTTCCGTTTTAAGTTTTAAAAGATTAAATTCAGAACTAGGGTTTATGCAGTTGGGCATTTGGTTCACAATCTTGAGATCATTAATTGCCCGGTTAAAAGGCCTGTAAGGTTTTATGACCCAATGCGCTGTTTTTTGCCAGCGTCGTCTGTTGAATTATTGCACATCGAGCTATGTACCAGATTTGCTACTACTAAAAAGTGATGCTATTTCAAGGACGGCAGTGCAAGCAATCACTGTATCAAATCTTAAGAAATTACGCGTCAGCTCTTAGACACCAAGGCACGCTCGCCGAAAGGCAAGCGCTTTTAAAATGCAAAAACAGCATTCCTATACTAAAATAAACGAGGCGGAATTTAGAGGAAGATGAATTCCGTCCTTACCTTTTGTTCAACAGAAGGAGTACACAAACCATGCAATAAAAATATAGTTTTCCGTTTCATTTTCGCTTCGGATTAACACGAGAGTGAAATCCAACGCATTCTTTTCAAAGGACGAAAAGCTAACGTCACAAAAGCAGGTTTAATAATTGCGCCTTCGATCGATTTTGCGCGCGCGCTCTTTTACACGTAGTTAAAACAAATTTTCATGTGGCTATCTGAGAAAATGACATTACATTGATCTTTACTATATATCAAAATGCATTTGAAGCTTTAAGTAGAAAAACCTGGTATTATCTATTGATTTGGATTTTGAAGAGGTGAATTGGCTATCGTAAAGAGATCGAAGGATTGCAACTGGACGTTTCGAACGTAACTCCCTCCGCTTCACGGAAGATAAGCTTCACTTTCAAAAGCGTCTTTTTTTCTTCTTTTTTTTTGTCAACACTGTCACAGATGACATTACAAAACTTCGTTTCACTACGGCAATTAATGCATTTTCATCAAAGAGCTTTTGAACGGGCATTTTCCAATTTCGGTAAGCTTAGAACTCCGATGAAAGCGATAGGCCATTGTAGCCTAGTCGCCCCGTCCCGCCGAGCAAGCAATTTACCACTGTTTTCAAAAAATTACCTGTTTCTCGTATGTGCAAACAGCTAACGATAAAGAACTCAAGAAACCACAGGGAAGCCGCCCTCTCATTGTCTCTCAGTAATGACTTGTACTCCACCGTGTGGCACAAAATTTTTTCGGGTTGTTCTATTTTTGCGATATTTTCCAGCGATCAGCAAAAATAAGTTCCCGCAAATAAAAATTACTGCGGACATTTTTCCTACGAAATTTACTCCAGCGTAAATACTTTCTTACTTAAACCCGCTACACAAAAATACAGTACTAAGGAAATAACAATACTATGGAATTTGTCGGTCCAGTTATAAATGGTTTACTTCTTACCCAGATAAGCGAACTCAAACTTGTCACATTAACTGATGTAAGTCAACCCCGAAATTTTTTAGATACGGTGTTCAGGGAACAATTTTGGGACCTCTTTTGTTTTTGTTATATATTACTGCGCTTTTTAAAAACACGCGAGTTCTGAACTTCAAATGCCAACTGACATTTGCGTTTTTCGCTGGGGTCAATCATCTTAGAGGACCTCTTCGGAAACAGAAGTTTACTTCAATGCATTCAAAAGGTCACGGTTTGTGATTTGTGATTGGCGGATTTTGCGGATCCGTTGTTTCAAAGTTTGTTGCTTGTGATCGTAATTATGATTGACGGCAGCGAAAAACGCATTTGTGAAGGCAGCTTTTGAATAGCCTGCGAAAACATCCGTTTCTCCTCGCTCTTCGCCGCCGGGGACGTTTCGCGAGGAGGAACGTCTGCGACTCAGCGGCAGAAATTCCATACTGATGACGCAAACCAATGTTTACATAATAAATCCAGTAGTCATGGGGTTCCAAATACAAATTTGTCAACTTTTACGTGTCTTCTAGTCGATTTTGGTAAAGTGTTGTGCTCATCTGCCAAGGAGCTCCAGCAAAACTCAAATGCTTCTTCTAGAGAGGACTATATTCCACAAATATTGACTACTTTGTTAGGGATTCTTCGCGTTTACATTTGACCTTTGTGGCCTTTTGTCTTTTGTCTGTCATTTGTAAACAATAGCTAAAACAATGTAACTACTCTGTCTGACCAATCAGCGCTTCTGACCGGATTCCGGACAGATTTTACGACATCAGTATGGAATTTCTGTCGCTGAGTCGCAGACGTTCCTCCGCGCGAAACGTCCCCATCGACGAAGAGCCAGGAGAAACGGATGTTTTCGCAGGCTAGCTTTTGAACTTCAGAGTTCGTCGCGTGTTTTTGGAAAGCACTGTTACGACTTACCAAATTGGCTAATGTATCCACAAACAAAAAGGATATACGCTGATGATACCAGCATTACGTTTGCCAGTGCAGACGTTGCGCATATAAATGATTGCTCAAGTCAATATAATTATGACTTAAGTAACGTTGTACACGTGGTTATCAGCTATCAAGAATACGCTGAATTAAACAAAAACTGTGTTTATGCTTATTGCATCAAGGCAAAAATTATCGAAATCGCCAGAAAGTCCTCATGGATCAAACCTTAAATTAAGAGTGCCATATTGACAATGTTTGTAAAAAGATTGCTTTTGCCATCGACGCAATTAAACAAATGCGGCATCTTATCCCATTTAACGTTCAGCCTCACTTTGATTCTTGTAAAGTAGTGCTGTGGGGAAGCTGTAACAAAGGCGTTTCTGAAAAACTTCAACGCCTTCGGCAAAATCGGGCAGTTGGATGATGTGTTTCATGGATGATGTGTTCCACGCATTAGGGTGGCATAAACTCTGTCGTCAAAGAATGGAGAAGAAATCTACTATATGATGTTTAAGACCTTACATGGGATGACTCCAGAATATCTACGATCAAGATTTGTTTATCGAGACAACGTGATAAGGACAATCCTTTAAGACTAAATTCTACAACTCCTTGAGGTAATCAGTAATATCTCGCAACCCCTGGCGATACTCTTCTGTTGTGAAAATGGGAACTGTCTGAAAAACCACAAAACCATGGTATGTCATGTAATTAAGATGAGTAACTTTGACCCCATCACCAAGTAAACGCGCCTTGTATAAAAGACCATCATCTTTCAGGACATCATATTCACAAGTTATCAGTAGGGTCTTTGGTAATCCCTTCAAGCTATCTGCCATTAAAGGTGAAGCCCGGTAATCAATCAATCCATCGATGACAGCTTTTGGAATATTTTCCGGTGGCGTTTTTGGAGCTTTTTGCTGTTCCTTGTCTTTGACACCAACATAAGAAGAGTACTTAGTGTTGCGGAGGTGCACAGAATGATTATTTGCCAACAACGAGGAAGCTAAGTTTGGAGTTCCCGTCATGTAATAAGACCAGTATTGTGCCATTTCACGCTGTGTAAGAACTGGAGAGTCCTTAGTTTTAAAAGAAGGAAGAGACAAGTCTACGAACTGTACAGCAGGGTATAGCAGGATCTAGATAGGATAAAAAGAGAGAGAATCAAATACGGTATATCACATGTTCATTTCAACACAAGATTCTACAATAGAATACGAGCTGGTCAGTCGACGTTTCGCGAAGCTACCACTGGTTTCCCCACGAAATGACGAAATTCCGTACTGATGACATATAGCTACGCAGATCTCGGTAGTACTTTTGATTGCATGGTCGTGCAATTTGGAAAATTTGCTTCAACCAATCAAAAGCACTAACCAGATTTGGGTAGTAACACTTCATCAGTATGGCATTTCTGCGCTTGTTACTCAGACGTCATTTCGCTAGGGAAACCAGTGGTGTCGTCGCCGGAAATGTAGGCTATTTTCTCAGGCTAACTACGAACAGCCCCACATTTTTCGAAAACTCTTCGAAAGGAACGCGCGCGAGAAAGAAGGCCAATCTTGCTACTAGGGGCGCCAGACAGGAAAGGCGGGACTTGACATTCCACTTTGACAAAATACAGATCACCTTCGTGAGGAGGTTTGTTGCCGTTATCTAGGGGTGGCCTCATCTATCATTCTTCCTCTTCTCGTCTTTCTCGGAACCCTCTTCAGTGGTATGTTTTATTTTGTTTTACGTCAAATGAAGGTATTTGTTAATTGGTAGGGAAGATTTCTTTATTCGCCTTTTAAGAAGTTCTCAAAAATCACTAAGTTTATTTCTAAATAGCCAAGAATAGCCGCCTCCCGCACCACGTTTAAAAATAAACATAACAAGTAAATCCGACTTAAATCGGAATTTCAAACGAAATGCAAAAATACTACATCTCCAGTCGCACCTGCTAGCGCTCTATAGCTCGCTCGTGCTCCGCCCTTGTGCCGGCTATACCTTCACTTGTGGTCTCTTACATTCTTTCTTCGTGTCAAAATCTGAGAGAGAGGGGGCTGGGAACAGGTGTGAGAGAACCTTGGGAACAAGGTGGGGGACCTTTTTCCTCACCTGAGCAGCCAGTCTTAAATTTTCATCTCTCAGTTTCAGAGCAATTGCGGTTGCTAGGTTACCACCCGCACCGTCGCCAGCGACAACAACGCGATTGGAGTCTATACCATATTTATCAGCAGTGGTCAGCACGGTCTTAACAACAGCATAACAGTCATGGAACTGTGTTGGGAAGGTATGCTTAGGTGCTAACCTGTACCTGAATGACATTCATCATTAAGGTTAATATGTTATTTACAGGGAAGTGAAGACTACTAACGTGTTATCCCCGATAGTTATCAATGCAACAACAGCATTCTAAATACAAATCAGTCAGTAGATATTGGTTCCAAAGCAGCTTCTTTAGCTATCTGAAAAAATTTCAGGGAAACTGTATCTAATCGATGTGCTACTACTTATTTACTAGAGATAACACGCACCTCTTTGACTTAACTTACTCCACAGATATCAGTACTCACAGTGTTTGTTCCTTTAGCCAATTGATAAGTTATGCATGGTTCAATTTGACTTGTAACCATGCCCCTCGGGCATACCCCCGGGGATTTGTAATTTCTCAGTCTTTCTTGGAGGTCCATTCCCCACCCCCCGAGCACGCAGAAATAGACCATTCCCCACCACGAGCTGCTGATCGACCGCATATACGTTTTTTTGGGTACATCTTTTTGATCCGTACAAAAGCAAAACGAGACGTTTTCACAACTTTTATAAACGTTTTCCAAAGTTTATTGAGAGAAGGACAATGGATGTCATAATGTAGTTAAAACGTCAGCAATAACGTTGAAAACGAAAACGAAGAAGGAAAACTCTTTAAAAAGCGCCTCCTTGGCAGAACAGTTTATAAGAACACTGGACTGAATCTCTGTTTCTCTATATATATCAAAAGCTTTGTATCCGTTTTCATATATTAGTTTTCTTATCATTAAAGCTAGGCTGAAGAAACATTTCTAGCTATTTCTGTCCTTCTTTTTCAAAAAAATTAAATGCATTCGAGTACGCATCATACACACATTCGTTTCAAATTTTAAAACACACCTTTAAACACAGACTTCAATTTTGATATGTTACCGCAAAATTTCGAAAATAAGCCCGGGGCTTATATTTTCAAAGGCCCTTTTGAGGGGCTTATTTTTGGAGGGCTTATCTACGGAGGGAAATTTGCGTTTCGAAATCCATTGGGCTAGCCTTACAGTTGGAAGTAAATTTACCGTTTTTGCTTTGTTTTACTTTGTATTTTTAGGGCAATTTTTCCAAGTACAAGCCCCGGGGGCTTATATTTGGAGGGGTGATTTAACGGAGGGTTTTCTGTGTTAGCGGTTTGGGGGACTTATATTTGGAGGGGCTTATTTTCGGAATGTTACGGTATTCTTCTCCAACCACTCTCCGACAAATTCCTGCTTTTTTCCTTAAAAATACGTGGTCTCGAGGTCCGCAGCCATCGTGAAAACCGCGCGAGAAATGACACGTACTTCGCAATCTCAAAGAGAAGGTATTTTTTATTTGCACCCCCCCCTCCCTACCCCCGGGACAGGACCGCCTCAAACAATTCCTCATCCCCGGGCCAGAAGGGCTGGACTTGTCACAGGGGTTGCCCGGGAGAATGGTAACAGGTCAAAGTTAACCATGTATTATTGGATGGAAGCTAAGAGTCGGATTATATGCACTTTTTCATCACTTACTCGACAGATATCAGTACAGTATTAGCTTCTTGAACCAATTGATATGTTAACGGATGGAACAGAGCTGAAAATGAAGAGAAAGATAAAGCAGTTACCGTAAATGCTCGAATTTGCGCCCTTCTTTAAAAAAGCGCCTTACTTCGAATTAGCGCCCCCTTGAAGCAACAAAAACTTCGTTCACAAGGACGATCATATTCCACCTACTTATAAAATGACTCCTAGTCTCAAACATATTGAACTTTGAACAGTGAAAGTAATAAGTTAGCTATGAAGGTCTATGAATTATTAACTTTGCTTAACTCTTGCAAATTTCTTTTGTTTGAGTGTCGTGAAGACACAGAGATTTCGGCCATGTGCCTGCCTTTACCCACTGGGGAAAGAACAGGAGGGAAGGGATTCTGGGAAACTACAATCGCTTTAACCTTAAAGGTAAGGCCGTCGTAATTGAGACTACTTACCAACTGAACCAAGGGTCCATCCTCCACCATGAATATAAAGAACGCCTGTTGATTTGGCAGCGTGATATTTTGGTTTATAAACACGTACAGGAATATTGGCAATTTTGGTGTCTTGGACTTCTAAATCTGGTCCCTCATCTGCCGCGAAAATTCGTTTCGCTACATGCAACAAATAATTCGTATTTTCAATGGCTGAATCACCAATGCTTTTGATGAAGCTGCACGACCCTACAAACAAAGAAATTTACAACCACGACTTTTGCTAGCACTTGATATGAACAGACAATACAGTGATGGAAGGGTATGTTAGTGAGGAGATTTGATAAACTCTAAAGTACGGTAAATGTTAGCCTGCAGAACAGACGTTATTTTTTTCGCGTTTTAGAGGCGAGTACGAAGCGGACGTGGAGCAGGAGCCGTGCGCGGCGGGGAAAGGCGCCTTTTCCGCCGCGCGTGCTCTCCCGCTCTGGGGAGGGGGCGAGCGTTGGCGGACGGGAAAAGAGGAAAAGGAACTTTCTCCCTCTCCTCCTGAAAGAAAAAGGAAGAAGAACAGCCTGATCTTAGGTTAGATGATTGACGTTGGACTAAATATTAATTAAAAGGAGCACTGGCTTAACGCATCTCAGATAGGACAATCGTCAGAAATACAGTCGAAGCTCTCCTTGTGACCACTCTCGTAAGCGACTAGTTCTAGTTCCGACCAGTACAGTGAAATCCTGTTTGAGCTGTGACTTGTAATAAAAACTTAGTTCTCATTAGTGTTCGTAATCGTAAGGAACAGCGACCACTTCTGTGACCTTGGAGAATTTGCAGCGACTCAAAGCATTGCCAACTCGTTTTTTTGAGTTTTGGACTGCAGTGCAAGATGCAAGTGCAGCCTGATACCCAAAAAAGCGCTCTGGGGACCCGCGAGGTTACTGCATGCAAGCCGCGTATTTTTGAGCACACGAACTGGTTCATCATTTCCCGCGTATAAACGCCATCCGTGATTTTTAAAGCAGACGAAGATTGGGGGATGGTAGAAAGTGCTAAAGAAGATGTAGAAAGAAGTGCCTGTCTCCACAAAAATCCCCCTCCCCTTACCACCACCTCCAACCCCGCATCTCCTCGTCCCTGCCAAATACACAGTAATTTTTAGGGACCAAGGAGATCTAGAAAAAGTGCCTGTCTCCACAAAAACCCCTCCCTTTACCACCACCACCACCACCGCATCTCTTCGTAGTTATTATAACTCCAAAAATGGAGTAAAAAATTTACGTTCAGGATAACCCCTTTTTGGGGGTTACTTTATCTCCTCAATATTAATTCCAAATCTGGGGTGATTTTTACTCCTGAAAACGAGTTCTTTAAACTCCTTTTGGAGTTAAAATAACTCTGCAAAAAAATAACTCCACTGTAAGGAGTTAGATTAACCCCACTAGAGGAGTTATTATAACTCCTTGAAAATTACTGTGAACCCTTGTTCTTCTCTTGGAGCCAAAAAGCTCTGAAATCTGTATTTTCTTTGACCTCTGAAAACACATCACCTAGTGTTTATAGGGGCTACAGACATTTTGGGTCATTCATCTACTGTTTTGTTAAGCACTTGGTGGCGTAACCTCTAGTGACCGACTCGTGCACCTACGTAACTGGTGAGTTGTGACTCTCTCCTATTTCTGCAGGTACGTGACAACGGTTTCAAGTGACGCTTTGTTCAACACGCGTTACTTCAAAAGCTTTTTTCAGAGGAATGTTCACAACGAAAACATTAGGGAGCTTAAACAACGACGACGACGAACGGGGCGAAAACGTCTCTAAAAATTGAATCCATGGTGTTCCCAAATTCATCCCTCTTATCGGCCATGTCGTTCAACTTGTCAAATGTTGGTGAATTTTTCTGGTGTTCAATTCCAAAGGACTTTATCTGAATGTAAAAAAAGAATAAGAAAAACATTGCTAGTGTGCACGTCTTCCACTGGAAGTTTCACGTCATGGTCGTGCAACGACTGCAGAGAAATGTAGAATACAACATGACGCACCACCAAAGTTGTTGTTTTCAGTGCTGATCCAAACTTATTTCTTTTTGCCGTTCTCGTTCCTGTCGTCCTCGTTGTTCCTTAAGCTCCTTATTTACTGACGATTTGGTCTTTTCCTTAACTTGGTAGTGAAGTGTATTAAAAAAAACATGTTAATACACCTTTGAGTTCGCGCCTATCACCTGACGAGGTGCATGCCATTCCAGACCATAAGTCTGCGATAAACCATTAATCTTGTGTTTACTTATACACGCTTTTAATCAAAAAACCTAAAAATGGCCTTTTACCAACTTTTTCACCTGATTTTACATGAAATAGACAGATTTGGTTGTTTTATGCTGAAAAGTGGATTTTTTTCAAAAAGCTTGGTACTTTGCTTAATAAGTCTGGGCGCCATCTTGAATGACGTCATTCGCGGAAAGATCGTGCACGTGGCCAAAATGGCTACCAAAGATGAAATCTCTGTTGACGTTGATTTTGCAGTGTGTTCATATAAAAAGGAATGTTTTTACTTTATATCAAGAGGAATATTTTCTTTCTACAATGTCTTTATGGGTATGTTATCGTAACTTTAAAGCTTTCGTGCAAAGATATTCCTGGATCGATGACATCGAGGACAAACGAAAGCTGATTTAAGGGAAAGTTCATTTAATATGACAAGGGGGGGGGGGGAATGAAGATATTGAAACTCGAAGCTTGAAATTTTAGCAGCCCCCCTCGCTAGCGGTTCAATTTTTTAGGAGCCCCCTCCTTGGTAGTCGAAAAAATTTCAGAGCCCCCCTCCTCCTTCAATTCCTTTGCTCCCCTGAAAAAAGATCGCTAGACTGTATTAAACATATTTACCGTTATTGCCTTCAATGGTTTATACTATGACAAACTTGAGATACAGTTGTGATACAATTTTCTAAAGCATTTTTGGGATGAACAAGAGTGTAATAATTACTGAGACTACATTTGTTATATCTGTAAACCACGTGATATAGCTGAGTTGCACAGGTCATTAAATTGTTGAGTTGAAAACCATCTGATCTGTATGATGATGTCATGTGTTGGTTTTGAAGTATACAAATTTTCGGACCCCCCTCCTAGCGCAACAATTTTTTAAGAGCCCCCCCTTCGGGTGTCTAAAAATTTTCGGAGCCCCCCCTCAATATCTTCATCCCCCCCACCTTGTCATATTAAATGAACTTTCCCTAAATGCCAAAAAAAAAAAAATGCCAATTAAAGTTTTGGCTTAATCGTCTTGGCTCACTACAACAGACACGAGCTTAACTTCTTCCCAGGTAATCTTTTTTAGCAATGGTTTTGATACTTTTTCATTTTTTATGCAGGCCTTTCTTAAAAACGCTGAAAACGATTAATTATTACCGCTCGTAGGAGACTTAGATTATCTATCAGGTATTTACAAAAGCTAATTGAAAGGATTTTTCATGTTGCTATTCTGATCCTTTCAAAATGTACGATAATTCTATTTTGATAAAAGTTTATGCTTTTCATCATCAGTTTTTTATGTTATTATGTGTAGGTTTTAAGGGAAAAAAGAAGTTGGATAAAAACGTTTATACTCCAGTCGACCCTTCCACCGAATAATTTTTTACTCTGGGGAGGCGTAGCTCAGAAATCCAGAAAGCTATTAGCTCGAATCCTGGTTGGAGATGTAGCCACTAAAGAGAGCTGGAGCAGGGATGCATCAATTCTTCCAAAGCACTTTGCTTACATTTACATTGTTGAAAAAGCAACGAAAAAAATCAAAAAGCACCATCGAAAAGGGATACAAATTTTTATTTGAAAATTACTGTCACGAAGATTATTGTAGGCTTATATGGACAATAAATTCATGTAGAGGGGAATGCTTTAAATCACTGAGGAAGAATGAAAGGCCTCACAATGTTAACAGTTGTGATAAATACTCTTGTACAGCAGGGGGAAATGGTTACTGTAATCACATCTTTTTATTATATAAGTGTTTGAATTCAATGAATTCCCAAGAACTGGAGTGTGCACAACTCAAAACAGTAGCACAAACCAAGGACCTAGGGTATGAACCCCAATTCATATAATGCATACAAGGCATATAATGTCATCAATCCTTGTTACAGGGAGAAATGGGGGGTTTAAGGTGTCCCTTGTATGCAGCCAGGCAACGTACTGTCCAAAATATAGAGAGGGCAAATTAGTTCTTTCATTCACTTAAGACAATTAACTGTCCTGCAAAAGTTTCAACTAAATTAACTGGACACAAGGTTCCACATTCTCTCTAATGGAGGCAAACTTCAGTGTTATGACAACCATTCCAGTTTGCCAAGACCTAGAGCTGTTGGTGGCTCCTTTCCTGAATTCCCAATTGACACTGACACACCAGCTTGAGTGGGATTGCAAATGCCCCTTTTTTCAGGAGGACCAATTTATAAGTTGTTTAAAAATTCCTAATCCATCCTTAATTGAGAATCAAAAGGTCAGAGCAAAAATATGTTTTGGTTTCAAAGGAAAAGGTTCAAGTCAACTAGCTGTAATTTGCACTTGTTTGCAAATGGAAACTCAACATCTCTCACTGCAAACGAGGTTAGTTCAAAATACTCTCGTGTCACAGAATGATGTTTCTAATAATAGTGAATGGCAAATTGGTATTAAGCAGCAACTAAATATGCTGAGTACAAGAAAAATATTGGTTTAGCATTTATATTTATAATATATACATATATATTCATATTCAGGGCTTAGAGTGTGAGGTTGTCATATCAAGCAAAATGTCATGGTTGGCGGCTTAACCAAACAGAAGGGTGATAGATAATAGGGATATCAAGTTATGGTTTATTAGAAATCAAATGCCCTTTTACATTATGAAACTTCACACCTGAGAAGGCATGTTCTGATCCAAGGTTTTATTGTCACATAGTTAATGGTAAACCTGAGCTCAAAAGGGTCCACCTTTTTCAGGGTCAGTTGGGTTGGGCAGGATTAATGTGGTGCTGCTGGTTACATTTCACTTAATATTAAGCAATTTTTTACCTTCTACCTTTAGTGCTAAAATTTCAGATTCTAGTTCAGAAATTTCAGCGTCGGATTCGTGTAAGTTGTGTCGCTCAGCATCATTTGGCTCAACACACCTCACTCCTGTGGTGTTTACCATATTTGGTTTCCCTCGAATCAGATTTCTGTTCAACTTTATCTTATTTTGGATCTTAGGGATAAGGTATGGCTTGTGTACAGAGCATTTAAACACCGATCGAGGGGAGGCTGGACGTTTTCAAAAGCTACCGACCACTATTAAAAGACAATACAATACAATACTTCCGATGTCATCATCGCTGCAGCCGTGCTACCTTTTAATACATGCTGATCGCTTGGAATCTTATGTCACATTTCTCAGTGTTGCGTTTGTTATCGAACAAACATGATGATATCGCCGTATGACTTACAAAGACGAACCGCACCACTGCGATTACTTTAGCCTAGGAAAAGGATTTGCTAGTATTTGTTAATGTTTATACAGGAAAAGAATGGAATAACGCGATTCATAATGGCCTGACTTTGCCTCTTGTCTTGACATGATACTGTCACTCGAGTCAAAACTCAAAGATGGCGGCTGAAGTCTTTCCGCGAATGACGTCATAAATTAAAAATTCAAGATGGCGCCCAGACTTATTAAAAGCGTGTATAGGTCTGTTTTCCATAGTTCAGTGAATGTCTTTCTTTTTAGTTCAATGCCCTATAAAAGTGTACTTCCTATCTGATAATGCAAGGCAATAGCATCTGCTTATGTGAAAATAAGAGTGCGTTGGTTCTGAGGTTGTCGACATCGGGGCATAACACGGACGTGGAATTAACGTTACTTCCAGGTCCCACAGACCTCCTTTTTTGCAGGAGAGATCCTTATGGAATTCTCGATCAGTACCTTTGCTGGTTTTATTTTTGGACATTTCCGCCGTGTGTTATCGAGGAGAGGCGACATTAAATTTACCTTCCTTCCCTTGAACCTTACATTGATTCTAGCTCTCGTCCCTTTTGCTTGGCTTCCTCCCTTTTTCTATCGCGAAATATCAAGCACTGTTGTTTAATTTCCCCATTATCTTTCTTTCTCCCGTTTAGAACTCCCATCTCCAGTTCTTTTCCCCTCCCGTACCCCTCCCTCCCCCTATTCTCCCAGGCTACCCCCCCCGCTTCCTTATCAGCTTTTGAAAGCTGCACTGCCAACCGCCCTTCCGAACATCTGTGACATATGTAGTTTAACTCTTTGACTCCTGGGAAAAGAGAGAAAAATCACAGGATAGTGCAAATTTCTATTTTCTATGTGTTTTGCCACAACACTAAGTTTAAGCCGAGGCACAAAGTGGGGTTTGTAATAGATCATGTTGCATAAGTTTTTAACTGAAACCCACCAGAAAACGGCAAAAATCCAAATATGCACCAATAAAACGGGCACTAAATTGCTGATCATCGGGGAGTCCTTCTGGTAAATCTTGATACCAGTACAAACCAACGATCATAGTGGCGAAAGCGGCGGCAGTAACACTGAAAAAGACGCAGCAATTGATATCATCTGCCATGTTTTAGATCTTCGACTCTGAACGGGTGGTCACGCTATCATTGACTTTGCTATCATGTATGGTACACAAATTATTTAGGATGCTTACTTACAAAGCCGCATAAAATTATTTCCCTAAATTTACTAGTAATTTTATATTAAGTCCTGCTCTTTAAACCAAAATTCCTCCATCTTAAAGAGGAACATACAAAAAGAAACTTGCATTTGAAATATTAAAGCACCTGTACAAATCCCGTGTAAACATGAAGACCTGTAAACGGACAGTATGTTGTGGCATATATGATATGGTCGTTATTGTACACTTGACCCAGACCATTGCGGTGTTGGCTTTTTTTAGAGAACTGCGATGCCGAAATGGTTACCTTTTTCGTTGTTTTCACTGCTTTTCTTGCCGTCCTTGTCACTGCAATCTTGCGTATGTATTTCAATCAACTTGTTCCAGAAGGACTGCCTGTCGGTCAGCACCATAAACTTCGAACAGTGGGGGTGATCACAAAGCTCACGGGAATGGTGGTAAGTTGTTATGTCTTCGTTCATTTCAAAAGCAGCAAAAGTAATAATAAAATATATATAACCTAACTTTTTTCTCTGAAGTTGCTATCTCGCTCTTGCGATTTTACAACTATTTTATTAATATACTGACCAACTTGCATACCAATGATGCCTTATTTTGGACATGCTGGTGCTGGGTTTGCAACTTTGCAATGCGCGTTCTGCATCCTTGACATTTAAACTTATACCTCAGAGTCAGAAAATACTATGTTATTTTCCCTTCCCTATTTCAGGCCTGAACCGCTGTTCTCAGGAGGCAAATCCTAAAACACGTACCTAATTTTACGGACCTGGTTCCAGAGACCATAAAACTTATCTTAGCTATTTGTATTTTTATTGTTATAATTAGCTATGCCCAATTTCAGAACCTTTTGGTCCACACATACTTTGGAGTACCCCCTCCCTTGGATTGTGGTGCTGTTGTAGACTGCAAAACAGTCAGTTTTTTTCTCAAAATCAGTAAAGAAATCGGTAAAGCGTAGCGTAAGAGTCTTACGCTCGCGAGGCGCGCAAGCCTCACACACCCATAGGGCGTGTGAGGCGAGAGAAAAGTGTCTCTCCCCAGTCTCGCTCTCTGTTTTCAGCCTCGTTCCAGACCTTTTGTTTGACTGCCCGTGCACAATTGAATACACAAAAATACGGACTGTTTTGCAGTCTAGTGCTGTTGCAGAGATGTTGTTTTTAAATTTGTTTGGAAAACAAATTTAATCACTTATCATTCACACCTACCAAAAGGAAGGAAGTTATCAAAATGAAGGTATGTCTAGGGAATTATATCTGATTATTTGAGCCCTAGAATTATAGGAGAAAAATGATAATCTTCAATCTATTTTTAAGGCGTACCTTGCATCGTTGCTTGGCATTGGAAGTGTTATAAACAATATTCGTCAGATCCAAAGTTTCTTAAGTCACCTTCAGAATGTACCAGAAGATCCCTCACTTCAAATCAAGGACTTGAAGATTGCCGATGTTCCGGTTCGTCTATATAGATCCAAACAAAATATAGTTGATGGTAAAAAACAGACATGTGTGGTGTTCTTTCATGGTGGAGGTTGGATGTTCCTTAGTATTGGTGAGTTAATGCCAAAGCCAAAGCCATAACCAAATAATTAATGGAAAGGCAAATAAATGCTTTAATTTATTAAAAATAAACCATATTACACAAAGGTTGTGCATAAAGAAACATCCAATGTAATGATAACCATCCTAAAATAAAAAAAAGTAAAATAAAGGTAAGGGTAAAATAAAAGCAAAGCCACATGGATTAAAAAAAAAGTGTAAGCATTCCCATTCCTCTTATGAGGGAGTTCCTCCCAGGATCAAAACCCTATCTGTGGCCCAGCAATTCATGGCAACCACAGAAACATCACGCCTTGACTCGATCAGCTAGCTGATACAATCTTGTGTCACTCTTCAGGGGCAGTACCTAACGACCAAATTTTCCATATAGTCGGAAGAATAGAATAGTCCCAGAAACCATTTTTTTTTGTTCAGATGTCTTGAATAGGGGAACCTGTAGTCATCTCAAAATTTTTAGGTGGCTCTTTTCGTCTCATCTGAAACTGTCAGAACCCCAGATTGGTGTGGTCAAAAGTTTGAGGACATATTGGAGTAGCTGTCCATTCACAAGAAGATTCTAGGAGATGTTAATTTTGTCTTTATAGCAAAATATTTTAAGGAGACTCTTTTTAACAATAAAATATTTCATTAATTATGCAATATTCTGGTAATGAAGTATGAAAAACACAACCTCCAAATTAAAAACCGTATGTAAGTTAGTAGAAAAACTGCAAACATCTTGGCCTTTCTTGAGCTTTAGAAATTCCTAGTTGCCCTAATTTTGAACAGTATTTTACAAAAAAAAAGACATGTGGATGCCTCTGACTCTCAGTACTTTTATTTTAACCCTTTAGACGCTAAGATCAAAATATGAATTCTCATTTGCTGCCCCCATTCATTTCCTACAGAAGTAGTGGGGAGAAGTTGATAAAATATTTAGCAAATTTATCTTACGTGATCATGTCCATAATTCTCATGACCACGCTGTTTTACAAAGCATTGATATTAGAAGGAGGAATTTGATGCTGATCACTCTCAGGGCTTAAAAGGTTCACTAATTTCTTACTTATCATGAGTCTGTTCCTTTTAGATTTTTACCATTCCCTCACTCAATATATGGCTGCAAATGCTGGAGTGGTAGTTGTATCTGTTGGGTAAGATATTCTAGTACATTTACTGGTACTTGAACTTGCACATACATTGCTGCATTGTTTAAACATGCAATAATTATGATTTCTATTGATAGAGGGATAATTTAATCAAGAAGTCATTCTGCATGTGTAAAATGTTATCCACAAGCCAATGGTAAAATGGGCAGCAAAAACATGTAACTTGTTTTGTAACTTACACGAGCACTGCTGCAAAACAAGTTAACCCTTCAAGTCCCAATAGTGACCAACAGCAATTTTCTCCTAACAATGTCCATGATACATTGTCAAGAGATAAGGTTGTGAGAATGTAAAAAATTATCATGAAAGAGAAAATGCTTTGATGTTTTATCAAATTCTCTCAACTAATTCTTAAAGGAAATGTATGGAGATCAGTTTGGAGAATTTGTATGTGGATACTGGGGCTTAAAGGGTTAACAGACAATGTTGCACTTTTTATCATGCACGCTCAAACCTGTTTTGCAACTTTAAATCGGCTTGTTACGTTAAGTTATGTGAATACTGACTTCTGATTGGATCCAGTTTTGTGGGAGTCAAGCCATACATGAGTTAATTACTCGTTGCAAAAAGTTTGTCTTCTAGGGTGGTAAAATGTGCAACATGTACCGATTTTGTTGTAAAAAGTAGAACTAATTCTCTCTACTTTCTGCAACAACTGCCTTCTTTTGCAACTTGCAACAAGCTGATTTGTTGCAAGATAGGTTGATTCGGGGATGGTAAAACATATGCAACACTGCTATTCAACTTGTTTTGGAACATTGGTACAAAACAAGTTACACATTTTTGTTGCCCATTTTACCGTAACTTTACATATATACACAGGTACAGGTTGGCACCTGAAAACCCCTTTCCAGCTGGTTTTGATGACTGTGTTGAAGTGGTGAAAAGTCTTCTTGAAACTGGAGATGAGTATGGTATTGACACGACCGGTATAGTGTTAGCAGGTAGCAGTGCAGGTGGAAATTTGGCCGCAGCTGTAACTCATCATTTACACAATGAGAATAGAAAGCTGGCTGGTCAGGTAGGTTGTCTTAAAAAAAAATGTAGATGTTTTATTGCAGTTAGTGAAGTGGCCTCCCACACAGATGTTCTAAGGGGTTCGTCTGGCATTAGGATTACTCATGGTGAGCCAAAAGAACCCGTGCAGGGATGGCCCTTGATGGAGGACAACACTTCCTAATCTGGGCCAGGTTGTTCAAACGTCGGATAGTGCTATCCACCGGATAAATCTCTATCCACTGGATAGCGCAGTTGGTTTCCATAACACTTATCCGCTGGATAGTGATTTATCCGGTGGATAGCGCTATCCAACGTTTGAACAACCAGGGCCTGGTGGTTGCCCTGTGATTTTATGGGGGCCTGTGCAACCAAGAAGGACAAGACAATTTTTTCAGTCCCCTTATCCACTTCCAGCTTAAAGTGAAAAGCACACTTTTCTACCCCATGTTACAAAGTACTAATATTTTTTTTTTAAAAAAAATAAATCAATTGGCAGAGAACAAAAATAAGTTGGTTATCTACAAGCACATCCAGTGTTAATGGCAACAGACCTCTTTAATTTCTATGATTTGTTTTGCCAATGTAGCTCATGTGATGATGAGAACTGTTTCTTTCAGATTTGTCATATTTCAGATTCATATATGTATATGAATAATTTATGAAAAGACAATTTCCTCTGAGACCTTCATTGGGAAAACAAAACGTACTTTTCTTGTAAGCTTAAGAGGTCTATAGGTTAATTAGCATATATAAGTTGTCGTTAACAAGGTAAAGTTTAAAAAGCGTCACATTTTGAATCACAGACTCAAACATTGAAGCCATAAAAGTGTCTGGTCCTGCAAAAATGGTGCTCTTAAGAACTTGCTTTAACGGTGCAGCCCGTGCTAGTGCATTTTTAAAGCTTTTGTTTTTGAGGAGAAGAAACAACCTGGGTTCTTGGAGGAAGTAACTTCTAACAGCAAGGAAGAGAATTAACTAACATCAAACTGAAGTAAGCCTCTTGTTATTTTTCAGATCCTTTTAAATCCTTTACTACAGTTCATGGATTTGACACTGCCCTCTTATCAAAAAAACAGTTCTGCTGTTCTCTCTAAAATAGAAGTGGCATTGGCTTGGTCATTTTATATTACCGGTACAAAACGGATGTCTCGTCCGATTGGTGCTAACAAGCACTCAGCGCATCTTTGCAACACAAAGTATTCAAAATTCATTGGTGTTTGTGATGCTGATGTTGACAAAGTTCAGAAAGAACCACCAAAAGATATTCCTCAGGAAATTGTTGATGCTCTTACTGATTACAGAACGTCACCTTTAATAGCTGATAACATGACTGGCTTACCCAAAACTTTGATAATCACTGCTGAATTTGATGTTCTCAGAGATGATGGACTGTTGTACAAGAAACGTTTAGAAGAAGCTGGTGTACCTGTGACACATCATGAATACAAGTCATTCCACGGCTTTCTACTGTTAAGAGGTGACAAGAAGATATGCGCTTCAGCCAAAGAAAATATTATCAAATTTTTGGAGGAATTGTAGAGCAGTAGTTTATTGCTGGGTCTTAGAAACTGCATGGTCTTTGTAGAGAGTTAGGGTAAAATTCTGACCAGCAACATAACCTTGAAACAGCAACATAGGACAAACCCAATGGGGAAAAACGAGTTAACGATATATATTTCGGTTGAAACTGTGACGAGGACAATCTAAATATTGTAAAATACTGACTGGGGCGTGGCTTCCTCTAGACTCTAGACCTCTTGGCGAGCGGCCGACAGAGCAACGAAGTCACGAGAGGTCGACGTCCTTCGTCCCGCTCAATATTGAATCGGACGAACGACTTTTTTGAAAGTCTAAGCTTCCTCCTCACTGCCACAGTGAGGAGGAAGCAGTCGCATTCTGCGCAAAACGACCGATATTGAAATTCAGATCTAAGAGGGCCTCTTCATAACCAATGACATCACCGCTTAACAAACAGACAACCAATAATCGGATTTAATTGACTAATCAGGTCCATAAACAGAGTATTTATACCATTTGAATGGCTTTATTTATACATGAAGCTTTCAGTAAACCTTCTGGTTGCCTGAGAGATATACACAGTATTTTTTTAAAACTTTTCAGTATGCACCTCAGAATTGTGGATGTAAATTTTTAGGAAATAAAATTAGTTTCTTGTACAGAAGTACTGCTTGCGTTCTCCTAAGTCAAACGCAAAAAGAAAATTAACGAAAAAACAATAACTGAAACGACAGCCAGTGCAGTTGAAAAAACAATCTTCAGAATCTTGTGTAGATGTTGTAGTTAATTTTTTATCTCAGGTAATTTTTGTTTTTCTTTTGTTTTTGGGTATGGGAATGTATGCTAATGAATGAAAACAAAGGAGAAATAAAAATTACCTGAGATAAAAAATTAACTACAACATAGACAATGTTTTTTGTTGTAATAAGTCACTAATAAGTTATCTTTTTGTTCAATCGTAGCAAGAGCCATAATGCAGGGGCCGCCCAACGAGAATATAGTTCAAAACCGCTTAAACATAGCATTGTTGAACGTATTTTAGTATTTTTAACCGTTTAGAAAGCGTAGATATATGCATACTTTTATCCCCTAAAAATATTTCATCTGTTCGGATTTCCTAGCTGAAAGTCTAGTGATCCGAAAATTATAGGGATCAAAACTTACCTTTTTGAAAATTTCAGCCAGGAAAAGACTTCCGAAAATTCTAGGTGACCTTTTTATGGTTAGAATGCGTTAAAAATGCGCAATTATACCATTTTTGGAGGGTTCGAAAATCCTAGGAGAGGCAGGCAAGCAAGAAATTTAATAACAATTATTTCGAAAATTCTAGATCTCAAATCGTCTTCCGAACAGATATTTTCCAAAAATTGTCCTTGGGTGCCCCTGATAATGGGGCGGACTGTCCCATTATGTCTCTTGGTCGTAGTCAGATGGGAAAAGGGGAAGTATTTTCATAGCAAAATAAAACGAGGAGTGCTCGTAGTCCCCAAAATTTTGTTTTAACACGCTTTCCGTACCGAGAGATTTCCAAACGTTAACGCCGTAGGGTCGGCTTCCCCACCAAGTAAAAGTACTGCTTAAGAGCGTTCTATTGAATGATTATACACCATAGGATTTCATCCACACGATCGAAAGTTAGAACTACATAGTTACTAAATTAAATAAATAGTACTATGTGAGAGTACTGCTGAAGAGGTTTCATTTGAATGGTAACACCATAGGATTTCATCCACACGATCAAAAGATAGAACCACATACTAAAACAATAAAACCATGTGGAACTGAGTACTGCAGAAAAGGTTCCATTTAAATGGTCACTTTCATCCAGAGACTCAAGTATCTTAGGCCATGTGAAAGCACTGCTGAAGTGGTTTCATGTGAATTGTAACGTCATAGGAATTTATCCACAAACTAAAGGGTTAAAACTTCATACTAAATGAATAGTACCACGTAAAACGACTGCTGAAGAGGGTTCATTTTAAGGGTAACATCATAGGAATTTATCCACATACTAAAAAGATAGAACTTCATACTAAATAAATAGTACCACGTAAAACTACTGCTTAAGAG